TCAAGGCAACAATGCCAGCATTTCTGAATGGCTATTAAAGCATTATATCCGCGAATGGCTTCTGTTAGTGGCGGGATGGCGCCGGTAGGGCAGAGAGGCGGCCGCCTCCATGGCCGAGATACCCGATGAGGCTCAACCAAACATGGCCGGAGCTCTGATAGATGCTAGCAATCACTAGTTCCTCCATGGGCTGAGCTGAAGTGGAGGTCGCCAAATCGCTGGATCCTTGTGAAAATCAATGGAGTGCCCCTAAGACAGTAACTTGTGGCACTTCGGTTGCTGGACTCGATATTTGGAACCTCTAAGCAGCCTTAGGTTGGAAGTGTTGGTTGTTCGTGCATGTCTAGTAGGGGCTATGAGGCTGGCTGACGAGATGTTGATGAGCCTGAAGTCAGCGGTGAAATACGTCTACGCTTGCGTTTTGGTGTTGTTATAAAATGGGTTGATTCCTGTGCATCAGCTTCTGACTACCGAATGAAATACAACTAGTCTTTGTTTCTTTCTACCCCTGATTAAAATCTACAACCGTAACCACGTTCCCTTGGTTCCGCAGAATGGCTGATAATGGACCCAGCAATGGCTCTCCTGGTGATCTAAAACCCGATGACAGGACAAGAGATTCTTCTCGCCAACAAGACAAGTTTTCCCCTACCGACTCCATACCAGCTGCCTGTGCTCTGGACGTGATCGAGGCAGAATCAGGATCTTGTACACAGATTAAAAGTGAGAATGCGATTGGCAATCTTTCACCCTCCTCAGGCCCCTCGTCCCTTCAACTCAAGGAACTAAATGAATTACCTGCGAGTTTAAGTCGGGGATGGCGCTTCTACGGCGCTTTTGGTACACTGTGTCTTGTCACCTTCATCATCGCTCTTGACTCGACCATCATTTGCGTTGCATTACCTGTAAGCTCACGATATGCAATCCTAGCACGAGTCCTCGCTAAAATGAAACGTTCAAAGACAATTGCAGAAGACATCGGTGCTACGGCTATCGAAGCCTTTTGGTGCGGTACCAGTTTCCTCCTCGCCTCGACCGTCGTTCAACCCCCTGTTGCCTCCCTATCTCATATATTTGGCCGTCGGCCTGCACTGCTCGCCTCTCTCACTGTCTTTGCGGGTGGAAGCATTATGGCTGCTCTAGCGAAAAATATTACCGTGCTGCTTGGTGGTCGAACACTTCAGGGCCTTGGCTCTGGTGGCATCCTTGCTTTGACATACGTTATCGCTACAGACCTTGTGAGCCTCAGGGAGAGGGGTAAATGGTTCGGCCTTATCTCCCTCAACTGGGCTATTGGAAGCATTCTTGGTCCCTTGATCGGTGGTGCTCTTGTAGAAGTGTCCTGGCCCTGGCTGTTCTGGATCAATTTGCCATTCTGTGGTATTGCCTATATTGCTATTCTTATCACAATGCGCATTAAGCGAAAGGGGGATGCGTCAGTCAACACAAAGATCAGAGAATTCGATTGGATCGGGACCATCATCTTTGTTGGTTCTTTGACAAGTTTCTTGATCCCTTTGAGCTGGGGTAAGTTGCCCATGCTGATACAGTCAATTCTGTAACTACTTGCTGATGATCATTCACAGGTGGCATCATGTATGATTGGAGCAGCCCTAGGACTGTTATACCTCTTATCTTCGGTATTATGGGACTCATCTCCTTTGGTATTCACATCAAATTCTGCAGAAAATACTCCAGATGCGACCCTCTTCTACGACCCAGTCTATTCACCTCCCTTACGGCTCTCTCTGCATACTTTGCTACTGTTATCCACGGAATAACGGTATGGTGCCTTCTTTACTATGTTCCATTATACCACGAGGTCAGGGGATCATCACCTATCACTGCAGGTGTTGCTGTCATGCCCTTTACTGGGACGGTGGCTCCCGCTGCTGTCATAGTTGGACTCCTGATAGCCAAGACGGGGACATACAGGCCATTCATATGGGCTGGATGGGTTCTTGTGCCCATTGGAATGGGCTTGATGCTGCTGCTTGACAATCATACTGAAACCTTTAGATGGGTACTCATCTACCTTACTGGGGGTCTTGGTCTCGGTATCCTGTATTCAGCTCAAGCATTTGCTGCTCAAGCTTCAGCTTCCAATTCCGATTTGCCATTCGCTGCCAGCTTTTATGCTTTCTGTCGGTCTCTGGGTCAAGGCATCGGTGTTGCTGTCGGCGGCGTCACCTTTCAGAACGAGTTCCGCAAACAGGTTGAAAAAAGCCCGGAGTTTGCTTCCAAAGCCAATGAATGGGCCAAAGATGCGTCAGCGTTAGTTCAGATCCTCAAGAAGTCCCCCTCTAGCATGCAGCTCATGAAGGACACTATCATCGATGGATATATTAATGGCCTTCGAACCGTCTGGTTGGTACTAACTTTACTTGCATGCATCGCTCTCTTGGTGTCACTCGTCTGTGTCAAGGCGAAAAGCCTCGACCGTAAATTTGAGACTGAGCATGCTCTGGACCAAGCAGGTCCTATGGAGAAGAAAGACCAAAGAGTTCCGGAAGTTAATGTTTGATAGAATATGGGATTATTTCGCTATGTATCTCCTGTAGTGCTGGAATATTGCTTTTTGAATAATGCAGAACAATTGATCGACTTCCCACGGTCTTCTTATTGCAATATAAATCAGCACATATAATAAATATCGAAGTTCCTAGGTGGGACACTGATAGACAACTGGGGTGAGGAAACATAGCCATGTGCACAGCCCAACTTATCTCTTTCCCATCTAGCCATTTCCCAAAGCAACAAGAGCGCTGCCAATAATCCCGATGAGACCCCTCTTCAGGTATAGTATCCCTTGGGGGAATAGCTTATTCACGGTGAAAACCAAAGTCCACAACATCATCCATAGATCGAGGTATAGACACGATGCTTTGGCACAAGTCCGGGCGATCGAGCTTCGCCATACGTTTAGCGATAGCATGGGCTCGGCAGTTTCCCTCAACACCACTATGACCCGGAACCCAAATGAGAGACAAAGCTACTCCCAATCGTACCAATTCATGAGATCGTTGTCGAGCTAACGAGTCGAGAGGTGGTATTGGGGAGTACTGAATCTCTGAACACTGCGGAATAGCCTCATCTCTCGAGTCAGAGAATATGGCAACTCTGCGTATATGAGAATTCGATCGCTGCGAAACAATGAATATAGCTGCTTCAAGGGCCCCAGCGATGGCCATGAGTTCGATATCTCCGACACGAGCGTTGTGTCCTTTCACTTGCCAGCCTATTTCCTTCCGGATAGCCTTTTCCCACCCCCAAAGACTTATCCATGAAGGCAACTGCAGTACCGCCATTGACCACATTAATTGACCCATCGGCCCACAGGGTCAAACCATCAAGGCTTTCGTCTCGACCCGCGTTAATAGCTAGACTGCGCGCTTGACATCTTGCCTTAAGTACCACAATTGCACCTGCAAATGTTTCGGTATCGATCTCTGCAAGGGGGGGCATGGTGGCTCTCTGTCGAATCTGTCTCTCTTTCTTGTTAAATCGTTCGCAATCTTTCTTGAAAGTCTTTCTCGGAGGTCCTTTGGTTCGTCGTTCCTCTTCTATGGCTTTCATTTTTCTTTTTCTTTTTGAGCTGCCTTCTTCGCAGCAGTCGCTCTTTTCTGTTGTCTTTTCTCGTATTTTGCTGACTCGCGGGCCGAAGCATCTTCATCTGCTATCTGCTATGTTGTCCGAGAAATAGTCCTCCGTAAAATTAAAGAGAGGCAGCGGATTCTCTTCTAGTAGCTCAGGCATCGTGGTGGTGAGTAAAGGGTTGGCGAAGGATGCCCGGCTGGCCAGCCACTTCATGTTGAACAGAATATAAGCTATGTTGCCTTAGGCCCTAAGTGTATGGGCTCTATGTTTTTGGGCCTATTGGCACAGCGGTTTTGTATGACACTTGATATATTCAACTGAGAATAATGCCGGGCATGAGGATAGAAGGGCTAGACCTTTCGATGTGGTGCGTCTTTCCAGGAGCTTGGTATCAGAAACAGACTGAGTGAGATAGAGGCTTGTGCGCCTATTCGATATGAAGGAAGTTGCAAATTAGACTTTTAGGAGCATAATTCTTTTTGTGTTACATGTTGCCAATGCACACGAGAAGGTTCGTCATAAGAACCTACCCAAGGGGAGGCGAGAAACCCTAGGACCTCTATCCTAAGTGATAAAAAGACTTAGGTATAGTTTAGTTTAGATTTTGTGTACCTTAGATTATATATTTTTGACACCTAGGTCCAGCGTCAGAAGTTTTCTTGCTCCCTAGAGCTACCTTATATTTAAACAGTAAGCTCTGCTTTGTGTGAATTTCAACACAATGGAGCCTCGACCCGATAGTTCAAAGGGAAAACCTTGTTCTCCTCTGTTTAGTTTAAGAGTATTAATTCTTGTGGTCTTAACGCGAGCCTGCTTATAAAACTTCGGATCCTATCTCATGAGAGCAATTACAGTTAAGAACATCCTAAGACGCAGAGTGTGGTATAAATAAAGTGATATTATAATAAAGCCCGACATTCAGGATGATACCACTTTCTCTAATTGCACGATGCTATCTTGTGCGGGAGTATTGGCACTTGAAGAACTACTACGTATTACCCATTTACTACACAAAACCCTTAACTGGTTGATTACTCTGACAACCTTTTAGAGTTTTATATCTCTAGGCGATGCCTGAAGTATATATGAAAGCCACCTTTTGTTTTTCTCCAGCGCTTTTGCAGTCCTCGATAAGTTCAAGGAGATATGGAATATTTAATAGGCAGCATTTGCGCCATTGAGGCAGATAAACCTTATTAGATTTTGACTTCTGTGATAATAGCCTGCTAGAGGGGCCTCACTGTTTAAGTCTTTAATAGAAAGTTAATAAACTCGATAGCTTCGTATGAGGCTGAAGGCAAGGGGGGATGGAACATTCAATGACAGCTTGGTGGTTCTACCAGGCTCATCTTGGACGTGTGTCAAGTTACCAATTGGCAACTTTTCGAGTAATAACGCATCAAGGCAAGATGGCCGAGCGGTCTAAGGCGCTGTGTTCAGGTTCGATTAGAACTAGTAACGATTCGCAGTCTCGAAAGGGGCCTGGGTTCGAATCCCAGTCTTGTCAGCTTTCTTTTTCTCTGGCTTTAATAACAGGAGGTCTTAATTTTTAGATATTATATTTATTATGCCTGATTGCGGTACAGATAGGCAGACTTAGGGGAGGCAACGAAACCTAGAACCTCTATCCTTATTAATAAAAAAACCTAGGTAAGTTTAGTATATGTTAGCAAGCCTTTAGACCAGTTGATTTTGGCACCCTAGTTTAACGTCTTAAGTTTTCTCACTCCCTGAGGGCAGATAACCGTAGATTCGTTCCAGACAATGTCGTCACTGGCCAGGCCAGTGCGAATCCCCCCCCCCCCCCCCCCCCCCGACTTTTAAGTTCAGGTACCGCCCCTCCAAATCGGCAGGTTCCTCTGATAGCACACGCGCTTGTCGCGCTTCGCGACCTCGACCCGTGTAAATTGATGCTCGCTTCCTTCTCAACCGGCTCATCTCGTTCCCTTCCCCATGTTCTACTAATCATCACATATAAACTCATGAATGTCTTGGGCTCGAAACACGAAATGGCAACAGCCTCGTCTTCTTCAAATCTCTCTTCGCCGTCATCTTTTGTGACGGCGCATGATGCTACGCTTGATAAATCCACGGCCGCCAGTAGCCCCGTTCATGAGAACCCATGTCCCTATCGCGATGCGCGACAACTGCCCCGCGACTTGAAGGCACATTGCCAGATTTTACTCGAAGAGCAACTGTGTATGCTGGCGCTCGCTCCTCTTAATGGTAACTTATACTTACATTGAGATAGATGGCTCCGCGATCAATCTCCTCAACAGCATTGCCGCCTCTGGTATATCCAAGCACACTCCTTCGAGGAAGCACGTCCTTGTGCCTCCTCCAAGCCATCTCGCTCTATTGAATACTCTTGTCATTCATCCTCTCCATACTACCCGTGCGGAGAAGCAAGACCAGCTTGACGTTGCCTCGCAGGCTCTCGACTATTTGCGCAATATTCTTCTAGTTGCCGGTCCCATTAATGCCGATCTCAGAACAGCCTTCCAATTCAGCTCTACACCACGCTCAGGTCGCCGCTGGGATCAATATGGACAGGGAAACGATAGTGATATATCAGACACGGAATCAAATCGCGACGACGAACGACTTCGAGGCAAACTTGCCAACGACGGTAGCATATGGAACCGTGGACAAGACTTTTGGTCGACCATTGGTTGGGCATTCAACTGCAGCACGTTATATCCGAAGCGATGGCAATACTGGAAAGCCTGGCTAGAGTTGATGTTGGATGTCTTGGAGGCCGACTGGAACGAGCGCGAGCGATGCGACAAGGAGGCGCAATTAGCCAATGGTCCAGAGAGCGAATTACCCCGTACATCACGCAATGAATCTATCATTGTCATGTACATGGAACAACAAAATGGGCGACAAAATGGAGCTAAAGGATTTGTCAAAGCCATATTTGCCGACGGAGGCGAGATATCGTCGTCTGCCTTCCGCGAGGTTTTTGATAAGGAACCCAGAGGCCCGAGCAAGACGTCCAAGAAACGAAAGCGGGAACAGGTGCTGGACCTGGAAAACGACAAATTTGGTGACTACTTTGATGACGAATCAATCTCTTCGGGAGTTTCTGAACCACCAACGCCTCAAAAGCCTAAGGACACGCGAAAACTCGGCACAGCAGGTGTACACTCGCAAGGGCTGGTCGAGTCTGTCGGCATACGCCTTCGTCTGTTCAGATTACTTTCTGCGGTGACATGGTCACTCCGAAAGCCTTCCGAGCTTCATCGTTTATATGAGGAGTATACTGCCTCCCTCAAACTTCTCCCACTCCCTATGTTTACTCTTTTTGCATGCCAGAGACCAAATCCCCTTCTATCTGAAGCACATATTACCATCACCAAAGAATTATTCGATTTACTACTACCATCATCGTACAAAGATCCTTCAAAGGTCGACCCAGAAGGTGACGCAGAGGGAAGTTTGACCTTGCCAATGTTAGAACAGTGTTTTGTCCCTCATCCGGCGAATACCGTGGCTCTGGAAGACAACGCGAAATTATCCCTAGTCGTTGAAGACGCTATACAACTCCTTTGGGCATGCGATCTAATGGTTTATTCTGAAGAGTTTGAAGAGGCTGTGGAGAAGGGCATCAAAGCTCGAGAAGCAAAAGCAAAGAAGCGGCGTACTGGGAAGGTTAAGGGTGATGAAGCCGACGCTCTTGCGCAAGAGATCCTGACTAACTCAGGTGAAAGAATTCGGTTGCTTTTGGAAGTTTTGAAAGCTTCTCAGGAAGCGGAGTCATGAGACAGTTAATGGGGTGATAATTCTTATTGATTTTCTGGTGGTAATGTACATATTATAGAATACCCAGTGCATGAACATAATGCCGTAATGAATGATGATACCCAAGATTCTGCCGTTGAATCTGTTTCGTCTCTTTCCGTGACTCTTGTACATTGTTGCTACATTGATATGGCAATTATGGCTTGCTGGGCCAGTTGAGCCGGTCAGTACTTAACTGAAGCTCTATTGCTCAACGTTTCTTGGCTGCTGTAGGACTCCAAGAAGTTGGTTGCCATGTCTCGCCTGGTGCTCTAGCCTTGGCCGTAGCCCAAGGATCATCCTTCTTTTCGGCCTCTTCTTTGGTCTTTTTTGCGCCCGTGTCAGTCTGCTCACCACTCCTGGCGTCTTGTTGTAAAGGACTAGCCTTCGCCGGTGAAAGCAACGGTGCCGGCGCAGCCTGTGGCGCCTCCATAACTCGCGGTTTGGCCTCCCATCGAGCATCCGCCTCAGCAGCAAGCTTCTGCATCCTCACCCGGCGCAAAACATCGCTGTGTTGTTCCTCGATGCTTGGAGGTTCCTCTCGTGTATGCCGTAGCCATTGGTGCCATTGTGGGCTGACCTTTACGGAAGAGTAGTGTGTTGATCGCGGGTATTTAACAATTCTTCGCCAGCGCTCATTACTCTCAGCGCCTCTCGTAAGTCGAAATTCCCAGTACGTGTTACCTTGAAGGTCGTAACCTGGTGGCATGTAAGTGGGAGGAGAGTGGTGGAGGGAAGATTAAAAACAAACCCACGAGGAAGCGCTTGCGCCATGGCAAGCGGAGAGCTTTCCACTTGTACCAGGCCCGCGCAACAGGCCCAATCTGATTTGTGGCCATGGGCTTCTTTTGTTTCAATTTGTGACCTTGAATGTCACCAAAGGATATGGGGGGGCGCAAATGTTCTGGTGAAGTCTTGAATCCATGACACACACACAGCCACTTTCATGATGCACCAGCCACCTCACCCCAGCCACCTCATAACTCCCAGTCCACGTCATTTCATGGTGGGCTGGATGCTGGTGTCGGGTGCATGCCGCCCAATCTTGCCTGCTTGAATGCAAGCTACTAATTCCTTGGATACTTTCTTACCTACCTCGGATACCCGGGACCATCCTATTCTCTCTTCCTATTCTTCTCAATCAACACTTGATTTCTATCCTGGAAGTTGACCTTCAAGACAATACTTGGAGACAGCTTCATTTGTTTTATTGAGAATCGATACCCATCCCCTCCCTGCGTTCAAGACGCTGTGCGACTTTTGCGACAGGACCGTACTCTCTACGTCGCTTACCAGTGCAAACGCTTGAATCTCAACTCGTACTAGTCGAGATACAAATTTAATTCCTTATTCCTCAGAGTGGTTGAATTGCTATTTCGAGAACCTATCCGCGAGCCGTCATCATGGCGTCCGTGTCGTCGCTGGATAAAGACTTGCGCAAGATGCGCCTTGAGAAATACACACCAGCAGCTGCGAATGAAGCTCGTTCATGGATCGAAGATATTCTAGGGGAGAGTCTTCCTTCGTCCGATCTCCTCGAAGGACTAAAAGATGGAGTTGCTCTATGCAAGTAAGTCACCTCTAAGGCTGGCGATCATGAATGCGGGACTTACACAATTCTCAGACTCGCCAATCTCGCCCTACCACCTCCTGGGGTTCGATTCAAGCAATCGGCCATGCCTTTCGTACAGATGGAAAACATCTCGCTATTTCTCCGTGCCTGCCAATCTCCACCACTGAACCTCCACCAACATGATACATTCCTTACTGTCGATCTTTTTGAGCAGAAGGACCCAGCGCAAGTACTTCAATGTATCGGCGCATTCAGCAGAGCGGCCCATGCTGCTAACCCTCATAACTTTCCCACCTCGATTGGACCTAAAAATCGACCTGAAACGGTTACTCCACAAGGAACAGGTTCAAGGACACCTACCGGGACACGCGACAGGGGCGTATCCGTTACGAGCAACAAGTCGCCTGCTTTCGGACGCTCTGCTGCTCTACCACATCGAACAGGTGATTCGGGCTCTGGGCGGTGGAGTCCTACCAAGAGCCCTACCCCGAAGAATGGGCCCGAATCTCCTGGCGCCGTTAGCAGCTGGAGCAAAAAGGAGCACGAAGGTACTACTGCACCGGCTTGGAATATTGCACAGTATGGTTACTTAGGGGGCGCTAGCCAAGGTAATCTCGGTATATCGTTTGGTGGTAGGCGACAGATCACCAATGCCGGTCCCCGCGTGCCAACTCTCGCTGAAAAGGAGCGCCGTCGAAAGGTGGAGGAAGAGCGCGCTCGCCGTGAAGCGGAAGAAGGGGACAGGCAGCGAGCTGAAGAGGAGGATCGCGCCCGGGTTGAGGAAGAGCTCAGGTGGGAGCAGCAAACAGAACAACTCCGAGAAAAGGAGCGGCAAGCTGCCGAAGAAGAGAAGCGAAGATGGGAGGAGGAGGAACGGCAATGGAAACTGACAGAGGAGAAACGGCGCAAGGAGGAGGAAGATGCCGAAGCCCGACTTGCCGAAGAGCGAAAAAGCGTGAAGAATCGCGGTGATTCTAAGCTGACGGGGCAGTTCCTGAGTCAGTACCGAGCCGACCAAGGAGCATCACAACAAGACGGTGCTTCAGAAGATGACTACAAGAACCGTGTGAAGCAGTTGGAGCAAGAGTTGGAGCTCGCTCGACAACGAGAAGCCGAGTATGAGCGAGAGCGTCAAGAGAGAGCTCAACGTC